AAAAAAAAAAAAAATCAAAATTTCTTAACTGGTGGCGCCATCTATTGACAATGCATAATAATGAGAAAAGTAAAAATTCTTCCTTATCACTCATTATTGCCATAATAATTATTCTTTGTCCCAAACTTTAGGTAACTTTTAAACAATTCGAAGTCTTTTTTATAGTTATCAAAATAATTGTTTTACGCAAAATTACCGTTAAAAATGTTTAATATCTTAACTAAGGCTGCCATCTATCAACATTGTATAATATTAAAAATGAGTATTATAATGAAAATCTGTATCGTAATGAAGTTCATTATAATACAGATTTTAATCGTTTAATAGCGTATTATGAAATGTCAGTAGAAAATAGTATATTATGCAATGATCATGTAATGATAGCCATTAATACACGAGCATGTTGTAGGATACGAAACGAGCCGCAGGCGAGTTTCGTATATAACATGCGAGTGTATTAATGGCCATTACATGAGAGTTGCATACACTATTTTTTCTACTGTCATTGATAAAACTTATGATATTTAGATATGTCAACATTATGCTTAACTTTGAATAGAGATTTCATAATTGAGTAATCCATACAGTTGAAGGTTTCATTTTTTGTTGTTCTTCAAAATATACTATCAAAACATTTTCTGAGAAGGACGATGTGTTTTTGGTGTTTCCAATCCATACATTGTCCATATAATATTTCGTAAATTTTCTTGGACTTGTCCGGTAGTATATTATTACCTGCATTTGTCGCCTTTTCTGTAATTTCTGGGGGTGTTAGTGAAAATTCTTCGCTATCACTCAATATTTCCATAATAATGCCTTATCTCAAACATTAGGTAGGTAACTTTTAATAACAATTCGAAGTATTTTTTTCATGGAATTATTGTTTTCCGCTAAATTACCATGGAAAAGCTATAAACAGAGTGCTGTCATCATTCATAAAAAAAAAAACAAAATTTTTTTAACTGGTGGCGCCATCTATTGACAATGTATAATAATTAAAAAAGTAAAAATTCTTCCTTATCACTCATTATTTCTATAATAATTATTCTTCGTCCCAAACTTCAGGTAACTTTTAAACAATTCGAAGTCTTATCTATAGTTATCAAAATAATTGTTTTACGCAAAATTAACGTTAAAAATGTTCAATATCTCAACTAGTGCTGCCATCTATCAACATTGTATAATATTAAAAATGAGTATTATAATGAAAATCTGTATCGTAATGAAGTTCATTATGATACAGATTTTAATCGTTTAATAGCGTATTATGAACTTTTTCAGCACTGATATGTCAAAAAAAAAAGTTTTACCGCACCGTGCGGGAAAACTCATTTTCCGCACGCATATCAGTGCGGAAAATCTATTTTTTCTACTGACGTTTCATAATAGCAACTTTTCGATTGTCATTTCAGTTTTGAAACGACATTCTTTTAGGCACTGAGTGCGTGAAAGTTACTTTTAGGCACTCAGTGCGTAAAAGTGACTTTTGAATGCGTAAAAGTGACTTATGAGTGCGTAAAAGTAATTTTTAAGCACTAGTGCCTAAAAGTGTCATTCATTATTCAGAAATAAAAAACACACTAAACACATATTTGAATTTTGTTTTGTATTTATTATGAATATTGAAAATGGAATTACTGAATTGAACGTTTGGGTTACTCAAAACAGAAGTTTGTGTTATTACCTACTTTCTAGGATTTTAATTATTGATGTCGAATTTTGAAAAGAAAATCGCATGAAAAGTGTCAGGTGTCAAGTAAAAGCAGGTAACAAAGATTTTGGGTGTAATCGACTTATTCACATGAAATAAAATTGTGTTTTTTTATTATAAAATGCCAGTAGAAAAAATCTTATATACAATACGTTACGAAACGATGTCTTTTAGTCACTCGCTACGCGTCGTTCGGTGAACGGCAGACTCGTGCGGAAAAATTCATTTTCCGCACTTGTTAGGTACAATAGTTTTTCTTCGAGCGTGAGGAAAATATATATACATCAAATTTTTTTATTCAAGTTTCATCTACATTTACTTATTATTTATATTATAGTTAATAGTAAAAGTACAATTGCTGGCACTACTTAAATTTATAGCGGACGCTAGCTGATGCTTAGTTAACGGCGGCGGCAGCGAGGGCAGTTGTAGAGACGCTGGCGTTTGCTGCAATGGTATAATGACTTCAGTTGATTGCAGTTGGTTTTCGGAGTCCATTCCATCAGTTGGTTTGGGAGGGTTGCTTGTTGTACCAGAATCTGTTTTTCTCAAAGCGACATAAGTACTCGTGGATGAAGATGGCTTCCATATTTTTCCGGAAATAATTTTTTTATTTTCTAGAGATTCATTCAAGTACCCTTCAGCGACTTTTGTAGATTGCCATCCTCCATGACGTTTTAGGTTGGTTATACCGACTCCAGCGTCTGCCAGGGCAGTTGCAGAGGACCTTCGGTAACAGTGGCCTGTGAACTCTTCTGGATTCTGAAGTCCTAAATATGCGGCAACTTCAGATGGCATTTTCCCAAAAATGTTAATACCAACACACTGGATAGTGCATTCTCCATTGCGATATTGGACGAAAAACCGTTGGTGTGGAGTGTCCTTTGGTCTAAGAAGAACATAGTTTCTTACAAGGCATATATTTTCCTGTTCGGTTAATACAAAGCTTCGGCTGGTGTGTGTTTTGTTGTCTGCTATTTTAACCAAAACTAGTGACTCTTCCAGTTTTACGTTTTCGAACAACAGATTGGTTAACTCCCTCCTGCATGCTCCAGCCAGACCAAAAATTGTTGCAACTTTAATTAGGAGATAAATATTATCTGGCGAGTTGTTTAAAAAATTTGCAATGTTTTCCATACTCAAAATCTTTGATTTTTTCGGTCGAAAGCCGACCATTTTTTTCTTGAGGAAAGCAATAAGCTTGAAATGCATGCCAATGTCGACGTTTTTCTTTAGCTTCAGCATGCATTTTAGCATTGAATATTTAGACCATAGTGTGGACGGTTGGCAAGATCTTGACAATTCAGAAAAGTAAGCAAGAAAAACTTCCTCTTTTTGAAAATTGGTATTTTTGTGAGTCATGCACCATTTGAGGAAGGTTGCGTATTCTTTTTCATACCTTTTTTTCGACTTATCGGGTACTAACTCGTTTTTCACATTTTCTGCAGCTTGAAGTATGCCTGCTGGAAGACCATCATTGATATTTTTATTGGTTTCGTCGTCTGAACTCATTTTTCAGGATTAAAATCACCAAAATGATTTTAAAAAGAACGAGACTTTTTGACAATGATAAATGAACGCGTAAAGGCGTAAACAACTGGTTAGTTACACATGGCAATACATCTGTTACACAATAGTAACCATGTATTTCATGTCAATAAAGGGTGCCGTCGGATTTAAAATTTTAAAATGTAATGCCATCATCTTGTTGAGGAGTAAAAGCCAGCGTCTCTACAACTGCTGTCGCTGCTGCCGCCATTGACCAATCATCAGCTAGCGTCTGCTATAAATTTAACTAGCGTCAAAAATAATTAGGTACCATCGTCACCAAAAGTAACTGGGACAGCATCACATTAGCTCTTGTCCTATTATATGAATTTTATTGTCAAATATTTGTCAAACTATGATTTAAATGCATTGAAATGAATGACAGTAGAATTAGTCCAGGAGATTATTATGCATTATTTGTGTCCCAGATACTTTTGGTGACGATGGTACATGTTTTTATAAATTTTGACATATCAGTGTGGAAAAAATTTTGCCGCACCGTGTGGCAAAAATTTTGCCGCACCGTGCGGAAAAATCGATTTTCCGCACTTAAAACAGTGCGGAAAATGCAATTTTCCGCACGCTCGTAGAAAAAAGGTTTTATAGTACGAAATAATAGTGTGAATTGGCTTTAAAAAAAATCATCTCATCATCATTTTTTTTGTCAATGTCATGAATTTTAACAAAAAAACAAGCAGGGAAATCGGGACGGAAACGGATATGCCTGCCTAGGCAGGCATATACATTGCAGTCCCGATAAAATGTCAAAGTACAGAAATGTGACAGTTTCAAGATTTTAAAAAGTCTGTAATGTCAATATTACATAGACAGTTGAAAATAAAATAAATTACCGTACCGACAACATGTAAGCCAAAACAGCTGTGGGGATAACTGACAGTAAGCGCTTAAAAATTAAGCGCAGCGTTCCTGTTGAGTGTCAGCTTTTTACTGCTCAGTTCAGCAGCTTAGTCACTTGGAACGCGCCCATTATATTTTGACAAATTTTGACATATTCCATTTTTATTCAATAATTTGAATCAGAGATTGAAAATTTTCTCCGTTCAAAACAAAACGGTTTTATCTTGTTGGGTGGCAATGTGTGAAAGCCGAGGGAACAGAGTAAAAATTCATCTAAAGATCCTAAAGAAAAAAAAAATAAATTTAAAAAGGAGCGCTTCCCGCGCTCTCAAGTTGCTGACTACATCCGCGAGAGGGCGCTGTAATCAGGAACAAAATGTTTGTATTGAGTTGCCTATCTATTTTATATGTTCGAGATAGTTTTGTATCCCTTATCTATGGGGGGGCCCTTCAATTGAAGTGTCAGGCATAATTATTGAAAAAAGTCTAATCGTAGGAAATAATGAGGATCGGTGTGGTAGGCGGAGCCATATATCGTTATAGGTTAGGTTATATTTTGCGCCCTTTATTACTTCAATTTCTACGATTACTTTCACAGGCATGGTGTGTCCTAGTTAGGATACGTACGGTTTTTGGAGCAAGTGGACCCGGGTTCGATTCTTGTTTCTAAGATTAATTATCAGTTAGTTTGGGTTAGTTTTGATTTGCTCTGTTTCTTCTAAAATACCAACACAAAGACTAGCACTTATTACGAATTAGGTACGATACGAGCTCTCCGGCCACCGCAGCGATCCTCATTTATTCCTACGACTAGACTCTTGTTAATTATTGTTATTGATAATTATTCACAATAAGGAAAATTTTGCCCTCCTGCGTACGCTCAATGTGCAAAAAAAGCCCCAAAGTGAGTAAATAATTATTTCTCCCAACACAATTACATAATCTATGTTTTTTCCAGAAAATTCTAGGGCTGATGGGGCTACAAGGCTCGACAGTGGCGCAGGAAGGCTCGACAGTGGCGCAGGCCCAATTCGAAACCCAAGTAAGCAATTATTTATATTCAAATCTTTAATAAATTGTGTCAAAAATAGCCTTTATGCTGCACAAATTAACGAAGGCGCCGGCCACTCAGGTGACCCTAACTAGGGACGAAGCCCTAGAAATGTACACGCAAATGCACACCATACGGCGCATGGAAACGGCCGCCGCCAATTTGTACAAAGAAAAAAACATTAGGGGCTTTTGTCATTTGTATTCTGGACAGGTAAGAATTGTTATTACAAAGCCCCACTATTTATATACGTTATTATAATTGTTTAGGAAGCAGTCGCTGTAGGCTTTAAACAAGCCCTAAGACCCCAAGATTCAGTAATTACAGCTTACAGGGCTCACGGGTGGACGTATGTGATGGGGGTGAAACCCCTAGCGGTCATGGCTGAGCTTACCGGTAGACAAACGGGGTGCGCCAGAGGCAAAGGGGGCTCAATGCCGTAACCGTCCAACCACTTAGGCTGGTGTCTGATAGCCTTTTAGTTCAATTTCGGTTACAATTGAACGTCTATTGTTGTAACCGTGAGGGAAAACTTGGTGGTAAAATAACCCTCGCAAGAAAACCCTAAGAGAAAAATTGGTATACATCCTGTATTTGTAATTGAACCAATAGCGAAGCACTTCATGAATAGATTGAATTAGAAAATGAAACTATAATGTAACTCAATTAGCTTCCAATAGCAAATTTACTTGATAAAAGACTATAGCTCTTGAAAATTATTTTAATAGAAAAATTGAGCAATAATGTATTAATTAATTAAATTAGATGGAATCATAATAAAGCTTTGAGAGTAGGTAATTAAAGAAAATGTGCCTCGAGTTTGCAAAAATTGAAGTTAATAAGGTTATATTTTTACCTGTTGGAAATAGGGTTTGTTTGCCTCAAAAATCTCTGGAAATCTGGATCGAGGTCTAGATTGAATATCCTGGAGTGAGTGAGATTATTCCCTACTCCTTAGGGCAGCTTTTAACTAATAATTGAATTGAAAAAAAGTCAGAATCAACTGTGAAAAAAAAAAAAAAAAAACGTGTAAGCAACATGGAGTTGTAAAAATCCGAGTTAATCGGCGAAAATTATAACACTACGAAAACGTAAGGCAAAAAGGCAACTAAATGTGTTATAACTTCAATTGAGAATAGCTATAAGGTCAAAATCCCACAAGGGCGAAGACAATCTTCCAAGAGACCTTATTTCTCCAACGTCCAGATGTGAAAAGAAATGTTCTACACATAGGAATAATAGGCTAACCTAAAGGGATGAATTCATAGATGATTCAGAATAACGACAAACATCAAAAATTAATCGATACAATTCTTACTTACCAAAAATTGCACACAACAATATAATCCGAGAAAAATGACAACGGCTGATGAATAATGATATTAACAACAAATAATTATCCCATAAAACAATAATAACTTGAAGAATCCAAAATAGAGTAAGTGATCCGTTTGCAAAATTAGAGGGCTTAAAAAAGAATCGACGATACTGAAAACATTACTAATCGACCGCCGGTTGACAGAAATTATTGACAATCAAAAGTCGAAACCGAAAGCAAGGATAATGCAGAAAATCTCAAAAGGCTATCGAACCAATGATCGACCCGGGGCAGGGCCGTGCATAGGGGGGTGCGGCCGGTACAAATTACCAGGGCCCTGGTTCCGTAGGGGCCCGGCCCGCCATCTTGAAAGAAAAGTTTTATGGTTGAAACTATTTTTTTTTTCAACTCAATTTCCCATATACACACAGTGTTTCAAAGAAGCTGGTCAAGGTCCAACTCCGTTTATTCGAATGGAATACCTTATATATTATTGAATATTCGGATTCTATGTAAAATTCTGAACAGAAAAATTAACTTTCTTCTAAGAGTATTGAATAATATGCGTAGTATCATTGTATTGTAATATACATCCATTTTCTATTGACCAATGTGAATGATTACTCATACAGTTACTTAATTGTTAACTAATAGCGAATTCTATTGGAAGGGTTAGTGCGCACTGAGTGTGTTCTTGTCTTTTTCTATCAGCTTGTATAAAAAAAAAAACTCCACTATTTAATAGCGAATCAGAAAATTCGACAAGTTGAAAACATACTTCAACCTTGCAATCGGTCATTTTGACAGCTGATTTGGTCAAGACTTGTGCTAACCAACCTCACTTTGTCCTCCAGCTGTCAGAAGTTTCAATTGATTTTGTTACTCGGATGATTACACTACTCGCCTGCGGCTCGTGGTGCATACTTCATCCTTCGTGAGTAATAGCCATCATTACCCGCTTGTTGAATAATATACTATTTTTGCAACTTTGATAGGCTGTAAAACCTAGACATTTAATTTAAGAGCAAAACCGTAAACCTTTACATTCATAAACTATTATTCAGCATCAACTTTAAATTTAACCGGAAATTAAATTTTATTAGGATTTTGATTTTGAATTATGTAGGGCCGATACTTTTGATCTTGATAACGAATTTGACACGTCATTGAATTTAACAAGGTTTTGCATGGGACAACGTCTGTAATCTGTATGATGTGGTAAGAGCAATTCATGAGCAATTCGAACCCCTGATTATTTTTAACTTCTGTCAAATTCGAAAACTGAGAACAAAAGTACCGGCACATAATGTATCTCTCTCAATCAAGTGACAAGCGTACTCCGGTCTCGCTGCTGATGCGCGGTTCATACTCCCCTTACGGCCCTCACGCGATCGGAATTTTTGTGAAGCAAAGAGGTTTCACTTTACTTCAAAAATATCTAAAAAAATTATATTTGAGGCATGTTTTTTAAACGACTTTTGGGTAAAAATTTGGGCATTCGTGAAACTCAAAAAAGTTTGGGGGCCCTTTAAGGGGGCCCGTTGGAATAGCTGTACTGGGGCCCATGCGTGCTTAGCACGGCCCTGACCCGGGGTTCACTAGAACTTGCTCCGAGATCAATAGCTCAATAACCGAACAGAGTAAGTACGAACGGAGTAGTTCTGTACATACACTTGAAAACGGGTCATTATGATTTCGGAACATTACCCCACGAAATATTTTTGACAAATGAATTATTTTTGTTATGAAAACAAATGGTCGAATTTAAAATTGGAATCAAAATATTGATTTGTTTTGATTTTGAAATTGAATTAAATTATGGATTAAAAACGAGGAAAAATTGTTACAGCAAATAGAATTTGACTATTGAAAATTAGGAAATTTGAAGGATCTACCACCGTTGAGATGGTTGTTGAAATTTTATAGAGAGAAAATGTTGACAAATTTAAGGAAACTTTGAATAGAAAACAGATAGTAGGTAAGAATTAGTTGTGCAATTTTGGCCTGTTACAATACAAAAACACAGATGGCGTTTGCGTCGCTTTATACGGCGACGGTGCCGCCAATCAAGGCAAAGTATCCGAGTCCTACAACATCGCGAAACTATGGAACCTTCCTTGCATATTTGTTTGCGAAAACAATGGCTACGGTAAGTACCAACAAACATTAATAAACAAAATTTATTAATTTAACAAACAAGGAATGGGAACCAGTACTGTAAGGTCTAGAGCAAGTACCAAGTACTATACTCGTGGGCAGTGCCGGCCCGAGGCTACTTTTAGTATGGAGCGAGATCTGACTTTGGCGCCCCTAGTTTAAATGTGATTCGCATACGCGAGTATGGATTTTGACCATTATCTAATTTAATAGGTTTGTTCCAACCCGTCGAAAAAACGTCCCAGATCCGTTTCCGGAACCACTCTGTATACGAATTTCAGTTTCTATGCAAAAATTTTAGGTTTTGCGCAGAATCCTGACGATAATATTACGGTTTCCTGCTGGGTTGGAACAAACAAAAGCTCAATGTCTCTATTTATCTTACCAATTGAAAATTCAAAACATTTCTGTTCGTTGGTACAAAGTTCTCTTATTTACTAACATTTAGTTCACATTCTTTGGTGGGATCAATCAATAATCCACTTTAGTAATATCACTTATAACACTTATGGCCATTTCCACCAACTAGTTATTTTCGGGAAGCCTTAAACGATAAGTATTCCCTAGACTGACAGTTTTCCATGGAGAAATGTCAGTTTAGGAAATACTTATCGTAATAGTAGAGAGTTCTCGGGCCGTTCAAATTTCAAATACCGTAACGCTGACAACGCTTGACAAGTATGACAGTTCTTACGGTATAAGCGTTAGCGGAGCCCGCTATTTAACGGAAGTTACCGGATGCCTTACCGCAAAGACCTTACCGTAACGCTATACTCTGTCAAAACTAGTTTACCCTCCATTTATGTCTGCAAAAACAGCAAGCAGCTAATAATTCCTCCATAAAAAACACCAAGGGAAAATTATTCAAGCTCAGGAATCTTCAGAATAAATAAGAGTTAGAAAACAAGCAAAAAAAGTGGGGTTAGATTACTCAACTCAGCTGTCAAAATGTAAACAGAATAAGGGATTAGAGGATTTATGTGTCTTCGTGCTCGAGATGAACTATAAAATACCATGTAAAATACCGTATTGTTAGCGGTAGGTACCGTATTAGCGTAGCATCTGACGCACGAGAACTTTCTAGTTTGTGTAAACGGCCATTAGGGCCGGTTTATTCACCTTCTGATAAACTGTCAGGTATGCAATCTGACCGACCGATAAAAATGCAATCTCTAATTCCATTGGTTGTTTATCTGAATATAAATAAACCGGGCCTAATAAATATAAAAATCGAACAAACAAAATACGAAATTTTTGTGTGTTTGCATACTTTTGCATTAGCAAATTTATTTATGATCTCCTCATATGACAATTTCAGAGCTATAACATTTTCAATAAACAGCAGGGCTAGATCTGAAGGTTTCTCTTCTGCTAGAGTTGACCGCTAAGGTAAGTTTTAATTAACTGAAGCTTACTAAAGCTCCGTTCACCTTTCGGCACTGTAACAGAGGAATGGTAACAAAAATACGGAGAGCTGTCCAGATATAAGGAAACGTATCTTGCCAATTATTAAATGCTAACGCCTGAAGGACTGCTTTCGGGTGACTGTTATCACTATCCGAAATATCGTGATCAAATGATCGGGTAAGGGCGCCACCACACCCACGATCCGTGCGCGTCTCAAAAAAACGTCAGGACAGGTTATTCTCATACTAAGTAAGCACAAGCTTGCTCACAAGCATAGAAGCATGATATCGAAAAGCAGAGACAGAATTCAAAGCGAAAATATACTTTTCCTTTTTTTTGTATTACCAAGGAACGAGTCGAAGGCGCTCCCCGAGGTCTGGCGCCTGGAGCGCCCGCTCAGTTCGCCTTATGGTAGGGCCGGCCCTGCTCGTGGGGACTACGTTCCTGACATTTGGGTGGATGGTATGGAGTTACAGGACCAGGGAGGAGGTGCAAGAGGTGCAAGAGGTGTGCCAAACCAGAGATCCCATCACTTTCACTAAAGAGAAAATTATTTCGTCCAATCTGGTGACTGCCGAGGAAATTAAGAAAATCGATGCGCAGATCAAGACGGATATTGATACAGCTACTGAGCAGGCTAAAAGGGACAAGGAGATTGGACTGGATGAGCTTTCAGCGGATATTACTGCCAATCATTTGGGGAGCGACATCAGGGGTGTGTCGATTTTCGCTCCCTTGAAGCATAAACGGATCGGGCCCGCTAATAATTTGAAATAATTGTTGTTGGTGCTATTAAAATGTTTTTAATTATTAGAAAAATGTAGTGTGTTGGTTCTGTTCTTGTATTATCCTTGATCTAGACCAAGATTCCCAAAGTTCAAAGGTTGTCTGATAATGGGTAACTCGATGACGCATCTGGGATGACAAGAGCTTGGTGGAAGCCTGAAAAGAATTTATATCTGTAGCAGAGAGGTAAACAATGGTATGTCCATAAATAAAAAAAATCAGTAAAGAAGAAAACAAGTTGTAATGCTAACTCACTTTAAAATTTGACTTATTTTTATACACTGTACCAAGCTGTTATTATGGTATGCTACTTAACTTGATTAGCAGTTTCAATAACCAATACCATTATTTCAGCCATACTTACCTGTATTTTGATTTTGGACTTACGACTTTTTACCTCAATTAAAAAAAACAGGTAATCATAAAAATGGAAGCCTTATATCGCAAAATCAATTTTATTGCTTATCGGTTACATCTTTAATGAGAACAATATACTTAAAATAAATAGAATTTTTTCAAAGATTTCTTAGACAAAAAATATACTTCGTACAAGGCAAAATTTATCCGCTGTCCTCTTCATCAGAAGTATCTTGACCTTTTGTTTTACAAATCGGAATTTTATTGTAAAAATTATGAAATTGCTGAGGAACCCATTCTAAACTTTTTATTAAATAATCCCGCTTCTTCTTTGTTATTCCCTTTAAGTTACTGCGTAGACTAGGTAATTCATCAGGCAATGGTCTTGGGTTTCGAACAGATCTGGTAACATTCAAAGTTTTAAATTCATCCTCAAAATTTAGCTTGTAAAATATAGTGTTAGGATGAGAAGCTCTAATTTGAAAATGTACAACATTTGATATTAAGAAATCTTCTTTTTGAGCATTTTTCTTCTTATGGATAAATAGAGCGTTAGGTTGACTATACAAGTGGTCAACATGTTTAAAATCGGGAGTATCTAGTTTCATGACAGTTGCACCTGTTGACAGGGGCGGACCCATGGGGGGGGGCAGGGGGGGCAACGCCCCCCTCCCAATGTTCACTACAGTTGGTAAAAAAAATGTATAGTTAGTTTCTAATCCCCACGCCAGTTGGTAAAAGAAAAGGGCAGGGCCGTAGCGATGAGCTGAAATTCTTATCTTAGATTTTCATAAATTATCATTTGATACCATATTGATACCAACTTTGAATTTAATCCATGATTGAAAATTCCTTACAGCCAGGCAAAGTTGCAAAAAAATCAGTTTTCAATTAATAATATTTCCAAAACAGTTGAATTTAGATATAGGAAGGTGTATAGGGTTTATCACAGGAGATTTGCTCAAAATTTTACCACAGCATATACAAAAGCAAACAGCAGGTTAACTCTCAGGCGCATCTCTTCTGCGCACGCCGCCATTTGAGGATACAGCCTAACACGGCTACGGCAAAAGCACAACATTTGACGCGCATCTTTTCTGCGCACGCCGCCATTTGAGGATACAGAGCTCGAGTTAGCCAGCTGATTATTTTTGTATATGCTGTGATTTTACGTCAACTCCGTATATTCAATTATATACAGGGTATTCCATTTAAAATAAGTTGGACTACAACCAGCTTTTCTGAATCACTCTTTATATGCGAAAGTAAGTAAAAAAAAAATTGTTTTAACTACAAAACCAAAACTCTCTTTCTAAAATGTCAAAAAAGAAAGATAGAGGGGACATTTATAAACAATAACCCTGTACGTTACAATATCACTTACATTACTGAAAGCTGAGTCGGTAGCTGGGTTCGGTATTGCATCTGCGAGCAAAAGGAGCGAATTTTGACGGACGTCACGTGATCACTTATCCACCACTTATCTTTTTTCACGTGTCAAATCACGTGACTTCTGTCAAATTTTGCTCATTTTGCTTGCAGACGCAATTCCCATTGCCGAATTAACCGGTGATTTACCGAGTTTTCGTGGCCCCGTTTTGGTAGAACTTTTGACTAGGGCGTGTTTACAATAGAAATATGGAACTCTTGACGTGTTCACAATAACCGGCGGAGCATCTTCACATTATAATAGTTGTAAAATAGTATTTAATTACCTACTCAGAAACTTGATTTTTTTTTCACTTGGCGCCCCTGTGTCAGCTGCGCCCTGAGGGGGAGGCTCCCCCGTCTCCCCCTCCACCTATTGGGTACGCCCCTGGAAAAGGGCAGTGTTAACACTTCTAGAATTGACTTAAATACGTTCTAAGGAAAGGATTTTTTTAAAGTTTTAGATACCTTAATAAGTTTTTAAAAAGATAATTTAACCACAAAAATTTAATCTCCAAAAATCTGGACGGATTCACCTGTTCATTTTCATTTACGCTCTCTAAACATAATGTACCTATCTATAACAAATGTCAATTTAGTACTTGATTTATAATATATCTTCCAAATTTTAGACCAGCTGCATACGCTCTTGCAGCAGAAATTGAATTTTTTTTTGATCTATGTAATAAACAAACAAAGAACCACAACTATTGATAATATGCAACAAGTAGTGAGAGTGAGATGAGAGTAGCATTAAAAAATAAAAGTTCACTTAAGAAAGCATTTCAATTATGCCAACTCCTCTTTACTGTAGGATATTCAAGGTGAGTTCGGCTTGGCAACTTTTTTGAATCCTTCGACACTTTTCACTGCAAAATCCTTCGGGGTAGACCACTGGGCGCAATCAAGGTCCTCATCGTTCGGGTACAGCCAAGTAAGTGAAAAGAGTTAAGTCCACAAGCACCACCTCGAGAGATGAAGTTCGAGGAGTGGGCATGCCCACTTCCTATATTTCCACAAGGCGGTAAAATTTAAGTTTTCAATAATTCACTATGCTAACGATCCTACTGTAAAGAATTCAAAGAAGATATTTTTTGCTTAGGTCTTGGTCGCCTCGAGCTTCTAGTAGAAAAAATGGCATCGCTCCCCCAAAATATCCGCAAAAACACATGCTCGATTTGTGATGGGCATAAGCGCCCGCGGCATTCGCGGGCCGTGGCTCGCCTTGCTCCTGATTCGTTCGACTAAGCCATTTTACTCTTTACACTCTGTGATCACGTGACTATGAAAAAGCTCTTTATCTGTTCTAGCTCCATTTTGTCAAGCCGAACTCACCTCGAGTAGCAACCAATGAGCGAAAATTCAGCTAACTAAAATTCAGAAAAAATGACTCACGTACAACTATGGGAGAAGAAAGACTAGTGGCCGTTTCCACCAACTATTTTAGAGGAGCCTAAGGCTCGCTTTTCTCGGATGCGGGAGGGAGACGGAACGGGTGCCGCAGACGTTGCCCTCATTAAAATATAAAGATGTGCTTTCCTAAGCAGCGGAGGCGCGACTGCGGCGGAGAGCAGTTTTTTTGACGCTAGCGGAATCACGCCACCGGTCGGTCGAGCGGCAACTTCGACGGAGCGCAACACCGACGGAATAATATTTATAAATAAAAATCTGTGTAAAAATGTCGAATTTCACAGAAGAGAAAAGTGAATTATTGATCGACCTAGTGAGGCAGTGTCCTGTACTGTACAATTTAAAGCACAAAAATTATTTCAACAACACAATTAAAGAAAATGCTTGGAAAGCAATTAGTGATGCCCTTCAAAAACCTGGTAAGTAGAAGATAATTTATGGGCAGTTGCAGATAAACGCTATTATTTTTTTGGATTTTTTGTTTCGGATCTTTCGCTTGAATTATTTTATTTGCATTACTGATGGTACGTGTGTGTTGTTGCTTGTAACACCTCAAATTTTTCTTGTTAAAGTTGGTGAATGCAAAACCAGATGGAAAACCATCAGAGATTCCTACAGAAAACAAGCGAGGAAACTGGGAACCGGATCGGCAGCAATTAGATCCAAATATGACAGTCAGAAACTGCAATTTTTAAACAGTGTTGCATTCCAAAGTGCCTGGAAGAGGTCCTATGTAAGCTCATGGTAAATCGGCATTTAGCTGGCACAAAAGGATTAGCCATATCGGGAAGATGACTTAGATGTTAGTTAAATTCTAACACGCGACCTCAGCGTACACTTACCTGTTAGAAAAAATCTAACTACGCGACCAACTACGATTGAAATACCAAGACTTAATTGCATTTATCAAATTTAAGTTCAAGTTTTGATTTGGATTTTTTTTTTAGTGTTAGATAAAATCTAACACGCGACCGATCGCGTTAAGGTAGCCTTTCGATGGACGCGGCCTATGGGAACGTTCCGATTGCTGCGACAATGCGGCTGGTCGTATGTACCGCTTTTATGTATTCACATAGGTCTCCTTTAAAATCATGCGACCACATGCGGCCGCGACAAGTGCGACAGCGTCGACCAAGGCGGCCGTAACGACTCAACCGCTCTAGGAGCAGTCTGGTCGCATTGTTCGTAGTGGCCGCATGCATTGAGCGACTAGAATTTTCAAGTATTATAAAAAATGCCTCCGTTTTCGAACGAGGGTGATGAAAAACTTTGATTGAAGATGTTGCTAAGAATTTACCAATTTATGATAGCATCCTCTCTGCATATCGAGATTATATTTGGAAAGATTAAGTCTGCAGTATGTTCGAAATATTTCCTCATCATATTTTAGATGCCTTTCAATAAGAATGTTGTATGAATCTTCAAGTGTTCATGATTTGTATAGTCCCCTAACTGCTTTTTTTTGGTCACTGTAGGTATTGTAGAATTAAATCTTCATCATCTTCTTCCTCCTTTAGTAATAACTGATATCTCAACTTCGAGTTCATTGTACTGGATACACCATACACCGAAAGTCAGAAAACAGCTGATGACATAAGGGATCGTGTCGGTCGTGTGAGTCGTATCGTACACAAAGTCGCATCTGTCGAAAGGTGGGATACAGATGCGACAGATCGTACTGGTCGTAAGTTGCAGCCGTATCAGTGGCAGTCGCAATCGGCCGCAACCTTTGAAAGGCTACCTTTATAGGAAGGGTAGCGACCGATCCCGGATTAATTATCCCTTGTAGTTTTGCA